CCATGGTTTCATATATGGAGTTCCCCCCTCCTTCAGTTAATCTTCCACCTTTATATATTCTAGCACAAGAGACCACAAGACCACATGCAATTAGGGAAGAACTGGATATAGCTAACAGGGAAATAGAGGAAGGAGTAGCTGAGATCTCAGGTGAAGGTTTAATGACCCTACTCATCCCTTCTATGGCAGAATGTAAATAGGCCCCATTGAGGGTTGCTCATGAGTAGTTACAGCTGCTTCTGATGCAGATAGTAATGGTTCTTATCCTTGAAGAACAATACTCTACAAGATTAGTATGTACACAACTGCAGAATGAATGTTTCTGTGAACAAAGAAGCCAGTTTGATCCCCACTTATCAACAATATGGAACAGATTATCTAGCTTGCTTATTGGTTCATGTCCTAGTTTGTTTCTCCACTGCTGTGACAAAACACTATGACCAATACCAACTTGGGAGGAGAGGGTTTATTTATCTTACATCTCACTGTTCACAGTTTATCAGGGAGCCCAAGGTAGGAACTCAGGGCAGGAACCTAGATGGAGGAGCTAAAGCACAGCCCATGGAGGAACACTGCTTACTGACTTGCTCCCCCACCCCTGCTCAGCCTGCTTTCTTATACAACACAGGCCCACCTGCCCATGGGTGGCACCACCCACAGTGGGCTGGGCCCTCCCACATCACTCAACAATCAAGAAGGTGCCCCAAGGACATGGCCACAGGTCAGTCCAATGAAGGCAATTCCTCAATTGATGCTCCCTCAACCCAGACATGTCCAGTTGACACTAAAGCTGTCCAGCACAGTTCATATCCTCAGTATCTGAATGGTGTTAAACTTTTTACATAACAATGCAACATGGTTTTCATCGAGGCAGACAAGGTCAAGGGACACAAATGTTAGAGAACTAGATAGTCAGAATTTGTGTAAATTTCTACAATACTTTCTATAATTTAATCAATATAGTGTATTTGCATATCTTCAAAAATTACAGTAAAATACAGTAAGATAAATCAATATGGAACACTTTGTTTTTACTTTCTGTGCTGGATAGCTTTAGTGTCAACTTGACACACCTGAGTTGAGGGAGCCTCAGTTGGGGAATTGCCTTCATTGGACTGGCCTGTAGCCATGTCCATGGGGCACCTGTTTGATGAATGATGTGGGAGGGCCCAGCCCACTGTGGGTGGTGCAACCCCTGGGCAGGTGGGCCTGTGTTGCATAAGAAAGCAGGCTGGGCAGGGGCCAAGGGAGCAAGCCAGTAAGTAGTGTTCCTCCATGGCCTGTGCTCCAGCTCCTGCCTCCAGGTTCCTGCCCTGAGTTTCAACCTTGGGCTCCCTGATAAACTGTGACCTGGGAGTTGTAAGCCGAATAAACCCTTTCCTCCCCAAGTTGGTATTGGTCAGAGTATTTTGTCACAGCAATGAAGAACAAACTAAGACGCTTTCCATCAAAGGTGACCCATGCACAAAAACTTAGACCCCAAATCTATTTCTTTCCTCTGATCTCCTGCTAGTACTGAACAGGCAAACTCAACCTACAGCCAGAAAGTTCAGATGCTCCCATAAAAAACAAGAGTGGAGGGCAGGGAACTGATGGACTCCTAGTCCAGATTCTACCTAAATGTTGCTGTTTGGAGGCAAAAGCCTTTGCCAATTAGAGGGACCCAGTAAAGACAAAAAGCATTAGTACTGCAAAATGATGTGACAAAGGCCTTGCTTAGGGAGAAGTGATACAATGTAGTGACAAGAGAATTGACTTGTCGATATATACAAAGATAGCACATCTCTGAAACATGAGGGAACGTGTAGATTATTTTTTTCTTTTTTACTGAATTTTTGAGAATTTCATACAACATATTTAGATCACAGCTTCAGACACACCCCCACCAAACTGCCTAAGGCAATAATGTGAAGGCCTTATAGAATCAGGTTTGTGTCCCTAAATGCCCTTTGGTGTGAGTTCATCCACTGGAGCCTGATCAACCTACCAAAAATTTTACCCTTAAATAAGACTGAATCTCACCTTCCTAGCAGCTGTTGGCTGGCTGCCAATAATTCCTTAGTTAGGGTTGGGGTTTCTTACCCACTTCCACATGAAATCCCAGTCTGTACTGGGATTTTGACTGCCTTGAGCTTACATGAAACTTGTGCATGCTGTCACCATTGCTGTGAGTTCATATAAGTAACTGACCAGGTGTCTAGAAAACTCTGTTTACTTATGGTCACCCACCTCCTCTGACTCTTACAATCATCTGTCCCTTCCTCCACAATGATCCCTGAGTCTTGGGAGGCAGAACTTTGGTATTGGTGTCCTACTTAGGGATAAGCAGTCTGCAGCCTCTTATTGTCTGCACATCATCCAGTTGTGGTTCTATGTATTAATCACCATCTGCTGTATAAGGAAGCTTCTCTTCTGAGAGTTGAAAGATGCATGAATGTATGACTTTAACAATAAATCATTAGAAATCAGTTTAATACTATTATCTATTTAGCAGAATAATTGTATTAGGCTCTCTCCCATGGCTTGTAGGCAGTATAGCCTCAGGTTCCTAGGCCTGAGATCAATGTCAGGTATGGGCTTCATCCTATGAAGCAGACCTTAAATCCAATTAAAAAGTAGTTGGTTACTCCTATAATATTTGTGCCAGCATTGCACTGGTAGGCAGACCTTGTCAGGCCAGCTGTTGTTATAATTCACAGGATTCATTTCTCTTTGTTCCATAGTTCATATATGTAGTATCTTTAGCAATAAAATATTACCATGAAGTTCTGGTGGGTAACCAAGAACAATGACCAGTATTGTTTGAGGGTCTATGCCCCTGGTCAACAGCTTCAAAAGAGGGAGTCCATTTCAGGCAGTGGGCTTTTACTTTGCTAACCTATGGTGTCTAGTAGAGCCAATGTCCCCCTGTTATAAGATTAACTTCTTTTAATATATTTTTATAATGTATATGTATATACTTTCAAGTATTTTCTCATCATTCATATGGTAGGTTTCCATAAATGAAGTCATTACAGTAGGTTCAGTGATGGGTTTGCAGGGTTTTTTTTTAAGCATTTTTTTCTTTTTTTAAAAAAAATTTATTTTGTGTGTTTTTCCTACATGTATGTAAATGTACCACATGTGTGCAAATGCCCAAAGAGGCCAGAAAATGGCAGTAGATCCCCTGGAACTGGAGTTACAGGTGGTTGTGAGCCACCATATGGGTGCTAATCCTGGGTCTTCTGCAAAAGCAGCCAGTGCTCTTAACCACTTAGCCATTTCTCCAGCCCCATGCAGGTTTTTTTTTTTCTTTTTCTGGTCACTTCCATGATTCAGTGAAGTAAGAGCCAAGGCACTGAGTTAGAGGGGGGAAAGCAGTATGATAGTAGCTACCTCTAGAATGTGAGACCATACCACAGTAGAAATCTTCTGGAGTTGTCAACACCTAGGACCTACCCAAAGTTGTGGTCTTGATGTGAGGTCTGTCAGGTAGTTTCCAAACCATACTGCATGGAATAGATACAGATTCATTCTGTGTTGGGGCTTTTTCAGGAGAAGAGATGGTACTAGAGGTGGAGGGTACAGGCCAAGGAGTAACTGTAAGAATACACAACATGATGTGGGTAAAGAGTGATCCCAAACAACTGTAGAGCTCAGGCACTTGAGGGAGAAGCCTAGATGGTCAAGGGGGTATATGAAATGGAATGTGACGGGAGTACAGGTGCAAACATTTCCCATGACTAGAGAACAACCTTAAAGTGGCTCCTGAAGATGTAGAGGACAAGATCAAAGGATGAGAGGGACAGGTATAAGATTTTCATTGATAGGGTGATGATGTCACCTAGAATGAAACAGTAAGATTAAACAGGGGCAGCAGCATGGAGACTCTTAAATGCTCAGCAATTCTAAAACAGTGCCTAGGTGGGGCTACAGAGCAATGTTGATCAGCCTGTGCTGCTGAGGGGCCAGAGTGTGGAAGAGTTGTAAACTGGATACCACAAAGGGAGATCGAGGGGTAACTTGTTCCACTTATAGCCCAGTGAAGGACAGTGTAGAAGAGACAGAAACTGAGTCACAGTCTTTTTTTTTAACTTTTATAAAAACTTTGAGAATTTCATACATGCATATAAGGTATTTTGATCAAATCCATGCCCACTTCTTCCCCTCCAACATTCCCCCCCTAAAGAGGTAACCCTAAAATCTTTTAAGAGGTAACCCTAAAATCTTTTAAGAGGTAACCCTAAAATCTTTTGACATTTTGACATTGTCCTAGTTTTTTTTTCTTCATTGCTGTGACAAAACATTCTGACCACTACCAACTTGGGGAGGAAAGGGTTTATTTACCTTACATCTCCCAGGTCACAGTTCATCAGGGAGCCCAAGGTAGGAACTCAGGGCAGGAACCTGGAGGCAGGAGCTGGAGTACAGGTCATGGAGGAACACTGCTTGCTCCCTGGCCCCTGCTCACCCTGCTTTCTTATGTAACACAGGCCCACCTGTCCAGGGGTGGCACCACCCACAGTGGGCTGGGCTCTCCCACATCACTCATCAAGCAGGTGCCCCACAGACATGGCCACAGGCCAGTCCAATAGAGGAAATTCCCCAATTGAGGCTCCCTCAACCCAGTTGTGTCAAGTTGACACTAAAGCTATCCAGCACATACATTTTTGGCCTTTGCAACAGAGTGTGTTGCTAAGAGGCCCAAGGACATTTTAACTTTTATTCCAGAAACTGACTACATTTCTTTGGGGTCTTTTTACCCTCACTGCCTAGCCAATTCCTACCTCCTATTCTTATCACACCATCCTCTGAAGGGGTTACCCAAATTGCCAATAGGGAATAGGGACGCAGACCACTTTGGCTTCTTCCATGCTGAACAGAGACACAGTTTGAGGCAACTAAAGTACCCCTTCAGTGGGTCTGTCTAAAGACTCCCAAATTGTATAACTCTTGTCACTAAGGGGAAAAGAAAGTCCTTGAATCATGAATAGGAGATGTGAAGGAGAAGTAAAGGCAAGAGTAATTAGCATTACAAGTTCTAGACAGGGAACTAGAAAAAAGTCAGAACAGGGCAAATTTTCAAATGTTCACATGAGAGTCCATTGGAGTTTCTTCACAAGGACACAGTCTTTAATAGAAGCAGCTCTGTATGTCAGAATCTTCTGGAAGACTTCAGATCAAGAGATATCCATACCCAGCCCCTAGGGACGCTATACTGTTGGTCTAGGCTAAGGCCAAGTCCCAGGGCCAGAATTTACATTTATTTATTATTTATTTTAGTGGGGAGGGGTGGTTAGAGGAAAGCTTGCAGGAGTCAATTCTCTCCTTCCACCATAAAGGTTCCTGGGAATCAAACTCAGGTCATCAGGCTCAGTATCAAGTGTTCTTATTTGGTAGGCCATCTGGTCAGTCCCCAGGGCCAGAATTTAAAGATCTCCCCAAGTGAGCTTCACAGCAAGAAGGAGGCCAATCTGCTCTCTCACCAAGTTCAGTAGAAGATGCTGCATTGTACAATTTCTCCCACATTTGTAGAATTACCCATGTAAATAGGTTCTGTCACTATAGATTTAATTTAATGCAAGCTGTTGGGTAGGCGTGTCCTCCGAGAGAACTAGCACTGAACCCCAAAAGGCTCTGTAGGCACAGGGGGAGACAGTCACCCCTCTCACCCAATCAGTCAGCTTCAACTGCATGTAGGGGAGGGTCTAAGGACAGAGGCTGAGGAAGCTAGGAAGTAGTGGAAAGTCACCAACATGGTGAGGTGGGGGGGCAGATCTAAAAAGCTTAGCCAAGATGTAGGGAAAGAGCCCATGGTTGTATGCGTTTGTAAGTAACTTTCAGACTTTATAAACTTTATACAAAAACCCAAATGGAATTCATAGTGTCGGTTTTACTGGTCGGCATTAGGACCTTGTGGCCCTGGGATCCCAGAGTGCAAGTGTAGGTCTCCCAGGAGAGAATTTGGCATTACACAAGCAAGAAAAGTTAGAGAAGATTCACTATGAACAGGAGTCTAAGAAGGTGAGAACTACTGACACTAGGACAGTGCTTGAAGGGACAATATACACGAGGCTAGGTGGGACCAAGTAAAGGGTGGGGTGATGAAAGATGGCAGGGTGCCTTGCTCAGATGTGGGATAATAAGGTAGAGGGAGAAATCTGTTTTGAAGGAGGAGCTTTCTTGGGCTGAAGGGGATCCAGAACAAGCAACATGTAGGAGAGGGTTATTAGCCACGTGGTGGCAGCAGAGGATAGGAGAAGAGCTGGACAATAACCAACTACAACCCTTCACAGGTCACCCTCCCTCCCCTGGACATGGCCTCCAACTTCAGACCCTGTGACACTGGGTCCCACACTCTAGGAAGCCCCCATCCCTCTGACCACATGTGCCTAGGCCTCTCTCCTACTTGTCACTACAAGTAATGGAGCAGCCTCAGCCTTCCACCTTTCCAAGTACAGACCAGGCCCAGATAGTGCATTAAGCAGAGGTGGTGGGAGGTCCCATACTTGAAGGCAGATCTAGAACCATCACAGCACCTTTTGCTGAAGCCTGGAGGCCAAGTATAATCTTTGGTAGTCAGTCTCTCTTCCCTGTTAATCAACCATCACTAGGTTCACTCTGACTGGACTTACTTCATTTACCCCAACTTGTCTGTCAAAAGCCCCTTATGATCCACCCAAGTCTGGCACTTCTCTTGGCACAGAGACATGCCTGGCCCAGTTGGCCTGCCAGGTCCTGATGGACCCGCCCATGGGCAAAGTGCCACCTACTAAGGCATAAAAGCCTGGGATCCCCCAAGCAGCTCCTAAGACTGTCATCATGAAGAGGAACAGTACCCTTCTGCTGGTGGCCTTTACCCTGCTCTGCATCTGTGGTGAGTCTAGACCCTGTTTTTAGTACATTCAGGGGGTAAAGGGTCCAGAGGCACTGAAATACAGGAATCAGGTAGACAATGCTTCCCTGTATCACAGACCACCCACAGAAGTACAGGGATTCTATTGACCCCAGTCCCTGCCCAACCCATCCTGATGTAACCCTAACCCAACCACCAAGGACATTGTCACCCACTCTGGCTCAATCCAGCTTGACCCAGCCCTCTGAATCCAGCTAGCCCAGGATAAGAAATGCCCCCTATCAGAACATAACTTTTCTTCCCTGGTGAGGTCAAGAACTCAAAGAGGAAACCACAGCAGCTTCTACTAGGGGGAATGGGGAAAGGATCTGTAGGAAGTGGGCCTGGGGGTGATAGGAGGAAGATCTGGGAGAGGGCATAAGACCAAGGCCCTGTCTGGCATTATTTCCCTTTGCAATACAGGGCTGGCCACAGGAGAGGATGACAATGAGTTTTTCATGGAATTCCTACAAACGCTGCTAGTGGGAACCACAGAGGAGCTCTATGAGGGTCCCCTGGGAAAGTACAATGTCAATGATGGTGCCAAAGCAGCACTGAACGAGCTCAAGTCCTGCATTGATGGCCTGAAGCCTGTGTATAAGGAGGAACTAGTCAAGCTGCTGGTAATGAGGCTGGGATTCCCATCCCTAAATTCTTTCAACAGCCACCCACCCATGCATGACCCTTAATCACCAGTCTACCCTCCACCTCCAGACCTACCTCATCACTGAGGTAGAGAGACCCCCACAGGGAAACCCAGAGAGTCCCTTAGTCTTCCTTCCCCAAACCCATGGACTATGCCCCACACAGGTAGTGCATATGCATGTAATCCTTCCTAGGTGGAGGGTAGACTACAATGTGCAGGAGCCTGTCTACTCCAGTGATAGGGACATAGGCCTGTCTGTCTCTGGAACCTGTGGCTTTCTGGTTGTGGGTCACCAGCTCTTCTGGCATGCACACAACTACCTTACAGGTGCAAGTGCTGGACGGTCAGGAGGACACCTAAGCAGGTACCAGTCAGTCATGGCTCCCAAGAACCATAGGACCAGCCAGCCACACAAACAGCCATGGACATGCTGAGACTGCTGCTTCCTGAGTAAATTCACCCTCAAACCATTAAATCAATAAAGTCTCCTGCAGCCCAGGCACTGGCTTCTGTTTCTCCCCACACAAAAGGGGCACTCATATCAAGGACACACTGAGGGATACACCACACCATACAGACTCATATGGGGTTGCCCAAGAGAAGAAATGTGTGGGAGGAACTCCAGGTCATCATATGAACACAGGGAGACATCCAGGAGAGAAAAGATCTGCAGTGGCAGGACTGGGGCAGGACAGAGGAGCCTAACCCAGACAGGCCGGCTGGACAGGACCCCATCTGGGCTGAAGGCTTTGTATCTGAAGGCTGGTGATTCCTCATAGGAGCTATGCATAAGAAATACAGCAACAGCACAGGCAGCTGATACACAGGTACTAGGGGCTTTGAAAAACAATCTCTCTCCCTCCAAAATCACTCCAGGAATGGGACTCCAATCTGCCTGAACCCTAAGAGGAACCCTAATGAGGGCAAGAAAGCCATGACAGCTCACCCAGCGTTCGGAGAGGTGGCTTTGCTGGCAGGAAGGCTGAAAGGCCAGCAGGGTCTGAGGAAGAATGGGGAAAAGCAACCTCTCCAGGCAACCCCACCACAATCAACATAGTCTACAATCCAACTCTACACCCTAAGATTCTGACAGACAAAACCTGCCCGTCCCTAGTTTCCCCAACTGAATCAGTTCTAGGAGAACAAGGTTAAAGGGAGCAGCACATTCACTCTTTAGTTACCCTAGGCCCTGCCACCTCACTATATCTGCATCTGTCTCAGTCACCACAGTTACAGTAGAACCTGGAAAGGAGGGATCCTTGGAGAGGGTGGGAGGTTCCTAGAGAGGTAGGGGGTCTCTGGAAGAGAGATGGATCTCTAAAAGAGGGGGTCTCCGGAAAGGATAAGGTCTGATGGTGGGGTGGGGGGGACATTGTCTTCATCACATACACTGTGATCTAGAACTCTGTGGGACAGAACCACATTCTAGAGCTCAGGGGGAGGGATCCCCTCCCCCCAACTCTCAAAGCTGGGGGGAGAGGGAGGTTTTCTCTTCATGCTCCTTTTTAGGGGACTGCCTGGCACAGACACCAGGAGGCCAAGCCACCTGTGAGGAGGCTGGGTCCCAAGCTGTTCTAAACCCATTCCTGCACAGAGGAGGTGAGGCCTCCTGATTGCCCTGCTCTCACCCGTGACACAGTTCAGCCAAGAAGCTCTCTACCCTTGCCAGCCAGCTCCTTGCCAAGTTGCACTTAGGGTTCTCTGACCAGCCCAAGCTCCCTCAGAGCCAAGAGAATAGTCAGTACAGGGCCAGAGTGGGCATCTCCTCTGGGCCTGTCCTATAGGCCTGACTCCCCTATCTTGGAGCTGGGGAGGGGTGAGCTCATCACACCAAATGAGAAACACCCCCTGCCTGTAACTGCTCGACACCCCCCATGTCTCCATGGGGAAAGGACTGGGGCTGCAGGATGCATGATCAGCAGAGCCAGGGATAGGGACATGAGAGCCAGGATGAGATGGAACAGGGCATCCCAGCACCTGGTCACCCTCTTGTCCATGGACAGAGCCAGCCATGGCAGAGGAGGTATGGGTGGGCACCTGGAGGCCCCATCGCCCCCAGGGGCCCATCATGGCCCTCTACAGCAGTCCTGGACCCAAGTACCTGATTCCACCCACCACGGGTAAGACTGCCTAAGAGCATGGGGCTTGGCCGGGAAAGGGGAAGGAGCAAGGAATGAATGGTGTAGCCTGGGACTGGTTTGGCCTCAATCCCTGGACTCTCAGCGGAAAACAGAATGTCTGGCTCCAGCAGCCCTGAGCCCCTATGCCCACAGGCTTTGTGAAGCACACACCCACCAAACTGCGAGCACCGGCCTACAGCTTCCATGGGGCCCCCATGCTCTTGGCAGAGAACTGTTCTCCAGGACCCCTCTATAGTGTAAATCCCAAGATACTGAGGACTGGCAAGGATCTTGGCCCTGCCTACTCCATCCTGGGGCGCTACCACACCAAGACCATGCTGACCCCCGGCCCAGGTGAGTGACCCCATCTCTGGCTCCAGGCACTAATATGCATGTCCTGATATGTGAAGACCAGATAGCCTCATCCCGTTCCTTTTCTGCTCCTGGGGAAACAATCAGGCCTGAAAAACAGAGCCTGAGACCCACCAGTCCAACTCTACCTGGAGTCCAGAGACCAAACCCACACCCGATCTCATTCCTGCTGCTTGAAAACAGCCCTGGAGCCAGAATTTCTACTGTGGACATCCCTAACCAAATCTGTTTACCATTATGGTGGGCCTTATTCCTTAAATGTTAGGACATTCTTCATGGGCACCCAAGTGTATAGCAGGGAGGGGAACACCAGATGTTTGTTCCTGCACACCCCTCCTCCTCTCCAGGTGATTACTTTCCAGAGAAATCTACCAGGCATGTGTTTGACTCAGCACCCAGTCATTCCATATCTGCCCGGACCAAGACCTTCCGAGTGGATAGTACTCCAGGTCTGCTGCACCCCAGCCAATAGGGGAATGGAGTTGAGGTCCCAGCAGGAGGTGGAGGAGGGGCAGCACAGTGTTAGGGCTTCAAAAAGTGGAGGGTATTCCAGAAAGGAACTAGTCATCACCATGAGGCTCCCCATCACCCACAGGCCCTGCTGCATACATGTTGCCAGCGGTGATGGGGCCACACACTGTGGGCAAGGTCTCCCAGCCCTCCTTCTCCATCAAGGGCCGCAGCAAACTGGGCAGCTTCAGCGACGACCTGCACAAGGCAAGGGTCACCCTGGCTGAGAACAAAGCCTAGCCCCTCTTCCCTGAGACCCAAATCTCCCCAGCCCACAGCTGCCCTGTCAAAGTTCCTGGGCCTCCTTCACCTCTGGGTGCCTGCCACATGCTCAGTAGTGGGGAGGGGCCAGGACAGCAGTATGGAAGATTCTGGGATGGTACTGAAGACTGAAACATTGCCTGAAGGGCAAATACTCATCTCAGAGATGGAAGGAGAAGAAAATTAAGCATTGACCTACTTAGGGGAGGAAAGTTATACCTGGACAACCAGCTAATGCAAAGACCCTGGGTTAGCACCACAGAGTTTGTTCTTTCTTTGCTGACCTCACTAGCCTCTGGCCTTTGCCCTCAAGACCAAGATAGTATCCTAACAGGAAAGGGGTTTAGCACATACCCTCTGAGAAGGGATGTACACAAGACTGACATACTGAGGATACCACTACCACAGTGAGGCTAAAATTGGGAGATACCCCACAGAAAGTTGCTCCATGAGCAGTGAGGTGTTACTCACATGGTTGATAGATTGTGTCTTTGGTGACCCATGGTCCTAAACCTGCTCCTATCATCTGGGACCACACGTTCTGGGAAAATCAAGCCTGTCTGAGCCCTCTTCATCTCTCAGACTCCAGGTCCTGCATCATACCACCAGACTGACAGTCAAGTAACAAAGTTCAAGGCTCCACAGTACACCATGGCCGCCCGAGTGGAGCCCCCCAGGGATAAGACCCTGAAGCCAGGACCAGGAGCCCACAGGCCTGAGAAGGTCCAGGAAGAGACTAGAGGGGTCAAATGGGGAAATAGCCCAGAACATGTGGGGAGGAAAGGGCCTGCATCCTGCAGGGGTGGGTGGGGGCCATGCATCCTTAGGATCCTGTGCATTTCCAGCAGTGGCCTTGAAAGCAACCTTTTAGTTGTAGGAAACTTGAGCTCCAAACTCGTCCCCAGCAGCTGGCCCATTGTCCCCAGACTGTGACAATTGTTACTGAGGATAGCATGGCCTTTACACTGACCACTTTGGCCCCAGGTTCAGGGGGGACTAGAGCCCCCTTCCCCCCAGGTTCAGAACTCTTCTCATAGCCTCTCTTCTCCCAGGTGACCATGACCAAGCCCTGTGCCCCTATCGTCACCTTTGGAATCAAGCATTCTGACTACATGACACCCCTGGTTGTTGATGTGGAATAGCCCTGACCCTGCATCTCACCAGCCTATGCCCATGACTTCCATAGAGATTTGCTGGGCTGACACTTCTTCCACCAACGAGGCCACTGCCAGCTTGGCCCTGCACAGTAGAGCTACTTTGGACAGTTTTAACAAGTTTTTTTTTTTTTTCTATGCTATCTCCTCTGTTTGCTAATCTTGTTTCCTTCCATGTCCAAATTATTTAATAAACCACAGATTACATTTGTAAGGGTTTATCTTGGAGAAAGGAAAAAGCTTGTCCAGAAGGGGCACTTATCTTGGGCCTCTTGGCTTGGAGGCCCTGCAGAAAAAGTGGGGGGAGGGGAGCCTCAAAGCTCTTCCTCATACCTGAGCTTCCCTTTACAGGCTCTTCTCTCTACACTAAGGCTCTCCTTTTGACAATAAAGGGTGGGTTTAATCTGGACTACCTGGATAAAGGGGTACAACAGAAATGCTCTTGACTGATGCCCCATGTGTCTGCTGTGAAGCTCAATACATGCAAGGTTATGCCACCACCTCCAGATATCCTGGCCAGAATCTCAGTTCAAGTCAGCACTGGCCTCCAGGCTTTCAAGCCCCAGCCCACCTGCCAGTCAGGCCTGGATATGGCAGAGCACATGGCCATTCTCACTGTACTGCCTCAAGTTTCAACCAAGACACACCTTTATTAGTATTAAGTTCAAATTTTAGGAGAGTCTGTTACCATCAACAGCCAGTAAGAAAATGTGTGGAAGAAAGCAGGCATCTCAGCGCTAGGCCTGAGGAGGTCTGTAGAGGCTCCTAAGGGTCCAAATACATCCCAAGGTCAGGCTTCAGAAAGCAGGGATGGACTTTCAGCTCAGCTTTGGGGCAGTCAGTACAAGACTAGTGGCCCTATCCAACCAGCCTGTGTGTCCCTAGGACCGTACCTTCATTCCCTCAGCTCTTAGGAGATAATGTTGTCAGCATCCCACCCTCAGACTGGCAGAGAAGAGTTATATAACAGGAAGTGGCAAGTCTGTGGCTACCCTAGTCCAGGCCACGGGGACAAGGGATCCCTGGGAGATGGACAAGGGTGCCCAAGACTGGCCATAGACCAGATTTGGCTTAAAAGAACTCTCTCAAACTCATTCCTGGAAAATGAGAACAAGGAATATACTGATACCAAGACTTTATTGCTAAGAGTCTGCCAACTCATTCTCACAACTGCTCACATTGAGCACCAAGGGCTTTCTGGTGTTGAAGAACATGTTGGAAGCCCACCTATCCATTAGGTCAGGTGCCAGGTACACAGGACTGAGCTAAAGGCTATGGTTAGGACATTCAGGAAGTTGGTCTGACCTGGTGACTATGGAGATGGTGCCATGATTCATAAAAAGAGAACAAAAGCTAAACTAGACAAGAATTACAACTCAGACCCTCAAGCAGCTGGAGGCTTGAGATCTATGAGAGTAAGGTAGAGTCTTGAGGAGAGAACCAGACATGCTGGGGGTGGGGGGGTGTCTCAGAGAGGATGGCAAGGGCACTGCTCCAGACAGTGTCATCTCCAAATAACGAAATTTAGACCTAGTTGGCACTAGCAAGATGAGCAGGGACTGGCTGTGGAAAGTGCCTTGGGAAGTCACAATACCAGCACTCAGGAGGCTAAGGCTGGAGGATTACCAGTTGAGGGCCAGCCTAGGCCACATATTTTCAGAGAAGACACATAGCAAGACACTATCCAAAGAAACAACAAAATACCCTGGGGTTCATTCCTAGAAAGTACAAGTCAACAGTGCATGGCCAGGAAGGCAGAGGAGACAAACCTGAAGCATGAACAAGCCTGCTGCAGGGACCAGAGGGAGGAATGATGCAGGCAGCTATTACCATGCTTGGTGACAAACAGAAGGCTAAACCAAAGCCCTGGTCCGTAGGATATCAGGAGTCAAAGATGAAGGGCCTGTAAAGGGACACCTAAGGAGGAGGAACAAGCTAGATGAGCCCAGCTGTTAGTGTCAAACAGCAATGCCACAGAGAGGCAGTGTGAAATGGGCTGCACTGGAGGGAGAGGGGTCAAAACAGAGGTTGGCCCTTCTCCCTCCTCCAGAAGGCTTACAGGCTCAGGCAGACACAATCAAAGGGCCAAATGAGAAAAGGAGACTATGGTCAATGTGGACACACAGAAAGGCTGCTCAATAAAGGAAGAAGAGGAGGGTGCCTAGTGTTGGAGCAAGGCATAGGCACTAAGAGGCCAGGTTATGGTAGAATCTAGGTTAACTTAGAAATCAGAGGTAGTGGTTCTAGACAGCATCATGGTATAGCCATGTGAGTGGACAGTAAGCCAACAGTCCTCAAGGAGGGAGAGTGATGAGGAGACAGATCAGAATAAGGTCAGAGAAGGGCACAGAACTGCACTGTTCATTTCTTTTTTGGTCTTTTTGAGACAGGGTCACCCTGTAGCCACAACTGGCCTGGATTCACTATGGAGACTAGGCTGGCCTTGAACTAACAGAGATCCATCTGCCTCTAGTGCTGGGATTAAAGGCATGCAAAACCACTCACAGCTAACTGTTCATTTCTTAAAGACATTTTATGTGAAGACAGAAGTGCTAGGTTCTCAAAAACTGTTAACCCCTGTCAGATCCACAGTTCAGTTTGTATGAGCATGGGACTGGCCAAGGAAGAAGGGAGGGCCCTAAGAGGCAGGTAGGAGGGAATTCTGCAGAGGAATGCAACAAAGAGGTGACTAAGCTCCACACACTGAGGGGAGGAGACTGGCTACACAAGGTAGTACAGGGTATAGTACAAGGGCAAAAGTTCGCACTAAAAATATAATGGCTACTTTCACAGATGGCCCCCGGCTCTACAGGGACCTTCGGCAGGAACGACTATCCCAGTACTGCCTGATTCTGAAAACTCAGACTGTACTGTTTCTGGGTCTGTTTGCCTGCGGATGAATACATCTTTGGCAATGGGGAGATCCTCAATCTCAAGGTCATCTCTGCTCCTGGACCATGGTCTTTGGGCCCAGAAGGATCTTGGCCAGTGCTTCTAGCCAAGGCTGTAGTCCACCTCTTCAGAGCCTGCTCCTTCCCTAGGATCTGGCTTCAGCCAGAAAATTCTTGGCCTGCAAAGGTCCACTCCTGCTCAGCCCATAGTTACTACCACATCCATCCTGAGGACTCTCAGAAAGGGCTCATGGCCAGAGCCACTTTTGGTGTCAGCTCCAGGTTCCTCAGATATAGATACGGTCTTTCCCAAGCACAGACAAGACAGAAGAACCTTAAGATACTGGCTTTTGAGGCACAAGAAAGGGGCTGTTGGCCACAGGGGACACATTCAGGATTCACAGATGCTGTGCTCAGACCTGGCTCATCCTGACACAAAGTGACCCTGGTTCTGCCAGTGTCTCTAGCACCAGGGAGGAGTGGGGTTAAGCCTTTGTTTCCTCTTTCATACACAGGACAATCCAACATGAGGTCCTTCTGTCAGAGGCAGCTGTAGTTCTCCCCACTTAGGAAGATGCTTGACCCATGATGGTAATTTCAAAGGAGTATTTTGTAGTCAGGTCCTCAGGAAACCAGGATAACCAGGTGGTAAAGAGCCTGGCTGCCCTTGGCTCCCATTGGTTCACGTCCTTGCCCTCGACAAGAGGTAGGAAAGGATGAAGAAGGCCACGATCAGGCCCACCGCCATACCACACAGAAGCTTTCGGTTGTCACGCCCAGATCGTGCCACTGTGGAAAAGCGCTTCACACTCCCTGTGAGCAGGCCAGTCACGCTCATGAAATCTGAGTCCTGTGGGAGAAACCAAACGAGATCACACAGAGGTGGTACTCTTGACCGCCAACCCCCACCAACACTGGAGGGCACAGCTGAGTATAACCTGTGTATACTGCAGACGCTTACCATGCCATCCAGGTATCGGTTCTGGTCTTCTGTGTCCCTATCGATGTCTAGGGCAAGCTGGTCAAGATACAGAGAGGCTATAGTCGGGCAAGGGCAGACATAGAATATAGCACCCATCTTCCCCTCAAGAGTAGGCAAACTTTACCCACAATCCTACTACATACCTACCACTAACTAAATGCCAAAAAGATCAAGGTATTACCTGAGGCTTCACTTAAGTTAACATGACCAGGAAGGACAAAGCAGATGGAAAGTTGCCTGAAATCCTTCTGGCCTTCCTCCTACCCTCTGAGCCCTACTCTCTAAGACATCAAGTGAAAGGCAAAGGAGAAAAAAAGGCCACCACTGACCGATTTGAGCCTGGTAACCTTGGAGGCCAAGCTGTCAGCCATTCGCTTGTTCTCTCTGTCTAGAATCTCCTCCACAGCACCAGGGCTTTGAGCTGCAAGAGAGAGAGGCCATGGAGTAGCATTCCCTCAATGAGTGTGACCCCTAACTCCTCACTCCTGTGGAGTCTGACCTAGTAAGACATCTAAGAAGATTAGGTTCATGTGTGTCTGCTGAATGAGCAGGTCTTACTCCTCACTAAGTACCAGCAGGTGGACCACCTACACTGGAGTCTATGTGGCATGAGTATATGTTCTGTGCGCACACTCAGGCAAGGATAGGCAGAGACCCCAGCAGGCTCACCCCTTCTGATACTGTGCGAGAACTTGGACTTAGCCCAAGAATGCTGAGAAGATACAGCTTTGTCTTCGTGGAAATCACCATCTGTGGGTGTGGCAAATGAACTCTGGTAGGGGCATAGGAAAGGCAGGAAGAGCACCCAGGCAAGTGACAATAAGGTGGTGTGGAAAGGACCTGGGAATCAGGTCCAGGAGAAGTGACAGGTCACTAGGTAGAACATCAGAAAGGCCCTTTACTGCAGGAAAAAAAGACAGGGCAGGGTAGGGTAGGTAATGCAGCATTTCAGTCAAAGTATGTGGGTGAGGACCACCCCTCTCAGAGTACAATTTTCACGGGCCCGAAGCCTAAAAACCAGCATCGATGTGACCCACGTGTGGGGAATGACCATAGCTCCTTGACAATGGCAGGCACATGCAGACCCTAAAGGAAAGGATGAATGTCCTGCCAAGCACCGCATAGTCATTAGTATAGTGTAGGCAACAGTTATCACATCTGACAAACACAACAAAGACACCGAAAGGTGATCGGAGGAACGAAAGCTCCTCATCCACAGAACCCTGCTTAGACCCTCCGCCACTAGCTGCTGGCACTGACAGGCTCCTCCAGGCTCCAGCTCACCGAACACACACAAAACACCTATCACCGCCCAGGCTTAGGTAACCAAGGCATTTCCGCCTAGCCCCGCCCAGAGGGCAGTCCCTCCGCGGAGAACTGGACCAAGGCTGTGGCTTGGCTACTACCCGGCGGACCCCGCACCGTGACCCGGGTGCCCTCCGGTACTCTCACCGCGAGTCCAATCCGCCATCGCACCGCTCCTTTCCGCCACGCCGGACGTTGCACCGAGCACAAAGAGGAGCTTCCGGTTCCGCCTTAGGAATAACTTCCGGCAGAAAGGCAGGGGGCGGGGCGGCAGAAACAAATGACGTGACTCTGGGTCCGGTAAACAAGGGGCGGGGGGAGACCAGTTCCGGAGACGCTGGTTGGCTGGCATTCTGTTCCCGGATGTGGGTGTCTCGCGAGCGTGAGACCCGCGGTTCTGTGCAAACCAGGTGCAGAGGCCAGAAGCGCGACAGATTCTGATGAACACTTTGTCGGTGTGTGTGTGTTGCACTTTCACCAACTGCTCAAGCCACAAGGCGTGGCCCGGCACGGCCGGCGCGGACTGGACACCCCCCCCGCCCCACTATCCCGCGCTTCCGCATCCAACTTTGAGACCCGGGCCACCTGGCCTCTCCTCCTGTTGGAGTGGCTTCCTCCAGCCGGGCATTTTCCACTTCGATCCTTCCTCATACACTCTACAACACACTAGGCACCTTTCTTTTTCCTTTAATAATCACATTATTTTGAACACTTCGACTCGATCCGCTTGTCTGTCTCCCGGGGGAGCTCGACCTCCAGTGGGAAGCGATTGCGGGACCATACCACTCTTTTCTCCGCTTCCCAGCGCAGTCGGGTGCGTAAAGTGGGCGGTCTGTGCGCCAGGCTGAGAGCCTCTCGCGCCGCAGGAAACTCCCTGTCGGGAGGTGGGCACAAAAGAAAGTCGCTGCTTGGTTAGCTGGCAAAGCAGTCAGAAACCAGCCGCTCAGCGTCGGCTGCCAAGTGGCACCACCTTAAGCCAGAGGCCCGCCCCGCCGGGTGCACGCCCATTCCGCCTTGCACAGCGGGTCCCGGCATCCCTCACGCGTGGATGCCGGGCTTCCGGACTTGGGCGGAGCCGGCCGTTTGGCCGTCTGCGTTTTTCTGCCCAGAGCTTTCCAGCACCGGTGGCGGGGAGCCATGGAGTCCCGGGCAGTTGCGGATGCCTTGGAGATGGAGGATGAACACGTGGTGACGGAAGCTCTACGGTCCTTCAACCGGGAGGTGAGCCACCAGGCTACCCAGGAATGCTCTGGGAAAGAGGAAGCAGCGATGCGCGCACGGCCGGGGTGTGCGTGCGAGTGTGGTAGGGAGCACGGCGGTGGATGGCGAGCCTGGCCTGGGGTGCTTCTGTGTGGGACAGGTGTGTGGGAGGCGACGGTGGGTCTTCCTAAAGGTTCAAAGCTGCGGCTACTGCCGCCTCAGACGTACAAGCATACCGGCTGTCCTGACTCTCGGAGTACAGGTCCTGTCTGCGTGCAAACCTAAGCCTGCTGGGTCTCTCCGCAGCACTCCCAGAGCTTCACCTTCGATGATGCCCAACAGGAGGACAGAAAGGTAGGTGTCGGCCCACGAGCAGGCACGGCTGCCCCAGAAAGAGGGCCTGGCCTGGTGGAGCCACTCTTGTCCCTCCCCACAGAGACTTGCAAAGCAGCTGGCCTCCGTACTGGAGCAGGGCTTGCCACCATCACACCGAGTCATCTGGCTGCAGACTATCCGAATCCTGTCTCGAGACCGCAGCTGCCTGGACCCATTTGCCAGTCGCCAGAGCTTACATGCACTAGCCTGCCATGCTGGCATCTCCACCTCGGAGGGACCCACCCCACAGGCCCCAGACATGGATGTCCTACTGGAGTCCCTCAAATGCCTATGCAATCTCGTGCTCAGCAGTCCCACAGCACAGATGCTGGCAGCAGAGGCCCACCTGGTAGTGAAGCTAGCAGAGCGTGTGTCACTGTACCGCAAAAGGAGCTTCCCCCATGATGTCCAGTTCTTTGACTTGAGACTCCTCTTCCTGCTAACAGCTCTTCGCACTGATGTGCGTCAGGAACTGTTTCAGGAGCTGCATGGTGTGAGTCTGCTGACTGATGCACTGGAACTGACACTGGGGGTAGCCCCCAAAGAAAGTGCCCCTGAGATACTTCCCGCCCAAGAAACAGAGCGGGCCATGGAGATCCTCAAAGTGCTCTTTAACATCACCTTCGACTCTGTCAAGAGAGAGGTGGATGAGGTAAGTTGTAGCCTGAAGTCATGAGTGGGACTCAACTGGGATATTTTGTGGTTCCGCTTCCCACTGCACCTCAAGTTTTTGGTGTCAGATATGGTAAGGGCAGGAGGACATCCCAGGAGTTATCTATTCCAGGAAGGGGACTCAAGGTTTCTGAGAGAGGTGGAGTGCAACATGGCTGTCCTGTACATGGGGTGAGGGGATAGTGGTCTCTACCACAAGGCTTCAAGTATAGGATTTCTGTAGCCCAACACTGTCCCAAGGTCACCAGGTATGCTGTGGAGAAAACCTAGTGGTTAGCCCCACATGACCCTGGAGCACAACCACAGGGACAAGTGGGACTTCCTCTCACAGGAGCCCCTTTCTGTCTTTGGTCAGGAAGACGCTGCCCTTTACCGGTACCTGGGGACCCTTCTGCGGCACTGTGTGATGGTTACTGCTGCTGGAGACCGCACAGAGGAGTTCCATGGGTGAGGACAGGACTTACTGTGTTGGGGGATGGAGATGTGCTTAGATGTGCAGACAGTAGCTGTGGATCAGAAGCACTTAGAAGCCCAGGCCCCATTTTACAGTCTGAGTTTGTCAGGGGACTAGGATACATACTTCCAGAGAGCCTCAGGGTATGACTTAGAGGAGCCCCTTGGATGGAGGCAATGGTTGTCATGGTATTGTATGGCAATGTGGTCTCTTCCCTGTTGTCGGTGACCAGTACCTTGGCTGATCTTGGTTTCCAGAGATTGCTTGGAGGCCTCAGCCCAGACAGAATGGGGCAGGTGAAGTATGTCTGCAGAGTCCCCACCAGACTTGAGTGGAGGTACCACCTGTCCTTGCCTCTGGTCCTTAGTGCTGTCCTTCAGGACCTTAGATAACTCATATCATTTGTACCCCTAGGAGGGGAACCCGGGATAGCATCTGTGCTGAAGAATTATCCTGTTGTTTTTTATCCCCAGTCACACGGTGAATCTCCTGGGGAACTTGCCCCTCAAGTGTTTAGATGTCCTTCTTGCCCTGGAGCTACATGAAGGTTCCTTGGAGTTTATGGGAGTTAATATGGATGTGATCAGTGTCCTCCTTGCCTTCCTAGAGAAGCGTCTACACCAGGTAGGTGGGAGACCTGCTTTGTGGACACCCCAGAGGCTCTGACCCCAATTATGGCCATGCTTCTGTTGCCATGGCAAGTGGAGGTTGAAGGTGTATCTTGAAGGTGTAACTTAGACAATTCCTCTGATTGCTCTGTGGTTCAGACAGGTGGTAGCCACTCCACCAGATCCTCTCAGAAGCATGTATGGACACACCATATGTGTAAATATCACCTCACTGCTGTTGGTTTTTATAGGAAAACAAGCTTCTCAGGGTCTAGCAAGGTACATGTTGTCTTTTAGGTCTCTATGGTTCTCTATTGAGTGGTCCTCCATACTTGTAACCCACAGGCTCTTAAAGTCCCTGTATATGGGCAATGCACAGCAGCATCAGTTGTCCCTCTGCATCTTGAGACTCACAGGAACTTATAACCAAAGGTTACCTGACTGCTATGGCTATCTCACATAACATCGAGAAAGCTAGAGACATAGCCTATCCTTGTGGAACTCACACAGATGAAAGAACTATAGATTAAGGGTTCATTAGATCTCTAGAGGAACCATGTTGTTGGGCAGAGGGTGCTCAGTACCTGTGAGCTGGATTGAGGACAAAGGACCTGGTTTGAGTACACTGGTTATGATTACCTGTCCCTATTCTTGTGGCTGCCTGATGTTGAGCTCCTGAGGCAAATAAATGATAGGGGAGGCTGGGAAGGGTTAGGTACATTATTTGCTGTCCACAAGGCACCTTGGGTAGAGATTCTTTGTTTTTGCTATTTCCTGGGTGGTGTGTGTCTGAGGTATACAGACAGCTTCAAATGCTTTATGTTTTGTTCATGGCCCTGGTTTATAGTTGTAGATGTTAGACTTAAAGAAGTGAATTATCTGCCCAAAGACCCAAAGCTTTTGAGCAGCTTCCAGAAGCAGGTCTTGTTTCCATCTTTTTCTTATTTTTTTCTGAGAGTCTCATAACCTAAGTTGTCTTTAAAGTATGTAACCAATGATGACTTTGAACTTCTGATCCTCCTGTCTCCACCTCAAATGCTGGGATTGCAGGCTTGTGCCTTCATGCCCAGTTTAGGGTTTCCATACTGTTTGAAGCTAATAAACACTAGCTCTGGCCCTTGGCTAACTCACCATAGCAGGGCCTCTTTACAAGCCTATGTTGCCAGAACCACCTGGTGAGGTGTGCAGTATACCTCCATCTCAAGTTCGGAGCATAGCCCAGTGACAGAGGCTCCTCTGCAGACCCACAGGCTGAAGGAGTGTGTGGCTCCTGTGCTGAGCGTACTGACAGAGTGTGCCCGCATGCATCGTCCTGCCAGGAAGTTCCTGAAGGCCCAGGTACCTGGAAAAGAAGCCAGAGTTGGGAAACGGGCTCGATCCTTCTTATAGGCCCTTGGCTACTCCAAGCCTAGGTTTAGAATAGCTGCCTCCCCAGGTGCTGCCTCCTCTGAGGGATGTGAGGACTCGGCCTGAGGTGGGAGACCTACTTCGAAACAAGCTTGTCCGCCTCATGACACACCTGGATACAGATGTGAAGAGGGTAGCTGCCGAGTTCCTCTTTGTCTTGTGCTCTGAGAGCGGTGAGTGGGGGGAGCCCATGCCCCAGGCCTGCCCTCCTCAGCAGCATTCACACATTGACCTCTGCCCTGGTCTTCAGTGCCCCGATTCATCAAGTACACAGGCTACGGGAATGCTGCTGGCCTCCTGGCTGCCAGGGGCCTCATGGCTGGGGGCCGGCCCGAGGGCCAGTACTCAGAGGATGAGGATACTGACACAGAGGAGTACAAGGAAGCCAAGGCCAGGTATGTACCCCAATATATACTCTGAGGTTCCCCTCATAGTCCTCCTCCCTTCCCCCGAACTAGAACCTATGGTAGGTAGAACAGGATACAGAATGGGTAAGACCCTAAAATCAGGCACTTGCTCCCAAGTTGTATGTTTTAATGACAAGATGTGCTCCAAGTGTACTGAGGCCCAGCAAGTACACATGGGCTCTCTGGGAAACGGAAGGTGCCTGGGCAAGAGTTGACTGGCTGGTGTTCCAGGAGGAAGCTCCTTTCTGGTTTCCCCACTACTACCACCACTAAAAGTGAGAAGGTGGGGTTCTTGCTAGTCCAGCCCTGAACAGAAGAATGGAGACTCTACCTGCCCCACATAGTCCTGCTTTTCCTATAGCATCACTAACTCATTTCCCATGTACCCATTCCTGGGGAGTAGCATCAACCCTGTGACTGGGAGGGTGGAGGAGAAGCCGCCCAACCCTATGGAAGGCATGACAGAGGAACAGAAGGAACATGAGGCCATGAAGCTAGTGAACATGTTTGACAAGCTTTCCAGGTATGTGCTGTGAGGAAGGACCTGTAGCTGGGAGAAGTGGGAACAGTCCTGTCTTGTGAGCCCAAGGAAGTGGGATTAGAGATAAAGATAATTTGGCCTAGAGATATTCCTTCAGAAAAGTTAGGGTAGGGTCAGCATTGAGCTGTACTTACAGATGATGAAAATGAAGCCAAAAATTTAAAGGACTAATATTTCAGAGCCATTAGCCATTAATATTTTAAAGCCATTGGCACTTAAGATCTGGGCCTGATTAACAGTTAACCTAGGCTTCCCCAAGAGCAGTTAAAAATGAGCAAGACCCCTGACCTACACACTAACTCCCTTCTCCAACCCACTGTGCTTTCCCTGCAGGCACAGAGTTATCCAGCCCATGGGGATGAGTCCCCAGGGTCACCTCACTTCTCTGCAAGATGCGATGTGTGAGACCATGGAGGGGCAGCTCTCCTCGGACCCTGAGTCAGACCCTGATTGAGGACAGTATTGGCTCTGCTCCCCTTCAGAACTGGTGCTGCTTCCAGACATGTCCTTGGGGTGCTGCCTGTAAAGAAGCCACACTCCTTTCCAGCAGGAGATTCTTTCTCTTTACTCTCCATACTGTTCATGATTTGCCTCTCGTCCAGATTCTTGTCTTTAGGACTGGGTGGTCCTGTCCTCTGAAGATGAGAATTTACCTTCAATTTTCACCAGTGAAGTTGTTTCTTTGATTTGTGCTGAGCATGTGCAGAGACTGCTGCCAAGGGCAGAATTGCTTTGGCACACAAATGAGCTTGCATGTGTGAGGACAGAAGCAGAGCAGGGCATATATTTTGTAAGCATGTCTGGGGCTGGCACGACAGCCCAGAGCCCATTTGTAAGGGCTTACAGATAGATGTAAGGCATATGCTGTATTTCATAGGTGAAAGAATCTGCTGAACTGTTAATAAGTATAGCAGAAGTATACTGAGCACCATGGTTCCTGTTTGTGGCCCCACTAAGCACAGGACAGGTGGCCTTTTATGCATTCTCCTTGGTCCTGGCTCAGCTACCCACTGGTTTAGTAATTATATGAAGGAAAAAGTTATTTGTGAGATCACAAAGTGAAATCTTGGGGTTTCTGAGGCACAGAAACATCCCAGAATAAAGAGTTTGGGACCAAGACTGACTCTGAAATAGCTGGGTAAAGGGACATTTAAGTGGAAACTAGTTTGGTTCTTTTTTGAATTCAACACTTCCTAGATAACCACACATGTTTTCCTTGAGGAACAAAGATAGGAGACCCTATTCCCTGGAATCTGACAGTTCAATCTGTCCCTGTCAGCTCCAGCCCAGGATGGACAGCTCTGTAATAGTACTGCTGCCTGGGAAATGGCCTAAATTGTATGTGGGAGCCAAAGGAGTGGCCAGTGCTTGGACAGAACTGCACATGGAGCAGTCAAAATAGGAAACCCAATGAGGGGACTCTGTCTTAGCCAGTAGCTAGGAGGATTTCCCAGAGTGATGTTGGTTTTAGTATCATCACTGGAAGACACCTGGGTGGGGTACTGGGAAATGGCTTAGGAAAGGAAGGACAGATGAGATTCTGAGGGAGGTAGGTGTTCTTAAGGGGCTGTGTGGAACAGGGGCCTAAGCTGACATCAGGGTAAGTCGAGGGACAGAGGGGCTTAGCCCTAACTTCCAAGAGGGGAACACCCATATAACCTGAGGTATGTCAGTGCTTGCTGTCCTAAAGAGATGGCAGGATGCCAGTTTTCATAATAAAATTTATTTCATGCGAGAAACAGACTTTTCTAGTTAAAAACCCCACTGTTGAAACCAACATGCCAGATTACCCTAGTATATCACCTGAGCCCAAGGGGCTACAAAGCCCATGCCCAGGTCTGGTGATGGACAGATATGCTGATAACTTTTTTCAGTCCATGGGGGCACCACCAGAAGCAGCATTTTGCACTATTAAGTTTCAGCAGTGATGAAGTAAACAAAGCAAACACACAGTTCCTTTACATCATGATGGTGTGGCCCCAAGGGTAAACGTCCCTACTGATCAGACATTCCAATGGCAGCCTCAGGACCACAGTGCCCAGGTCTCATGTGGTTTGGCCCAGATAATGTAAACCTGTCCAAGTTGTCTTCAGGTATGAGGTCTTGCTAGAAATGGGATGATGTATGTGAGTTTCTTGCAGGTAGAGGAGCAGTAGACCTATCTGTCCTGTCCATCCAGCTGGAACAGAGAGTGAGGTTAGTCAACTTCATATTCAGATAGGCCAACACATTTCAGGCCTGGATTAAACACTGAAGTCAAGCAAAATATTTCATGAAGCAAGCTTTTGTCTTTGCAAGTGAACAAGAAAAGGGATCCCAGAAGGGCTAGCAAACAAGATAAATGAAGAGGCTATTTCTAAGTAACTTTACTGATGTCCCCATGCCTAGATGAGCTCTTGTATTAAAAACAAAAGCATCCATTTTCCATAAGATTCTTGTGAACCAGAAGGCTGCCTCACAAGTCTGTCAGACTGATCTACCAAGGGCACTAGTGCCTTGTAAATCAGTAAAAGAGATACCACTCCCAGTGTGTCACATTTTGTGACCCAGTAAGATGACTTAAACATTTGGTGCTGTTTATTCCTTTCTGTACAGTAAGATTAGAAATGTTACCAGCCTACATCTTAGCCCTAAGTGCCAACTTTTGAACAAAGGACTAAAAATAATATTGGTGGTTAGGTTGGAATGTATGGAGGCAGTAAATGCCAAGTCCCATCCTTAATAAGCCTTAGTTCTCTCTTTGGTCCAATCTTGGTTAAAAAAAAATCAGGCTACATACCCGAGGCTGGGGGCCTTTGCCCATGAAGGAGAGGAGAGTATTGGCCTTGGCCCAAAGCTACAAGATAGACGAGCACAGCTGGGGATGAGGAAAGTGGGCTAGACTTTCCTAAGATTCTGTCTTGGGGACATCAACTGTGATACACTCTGGTGAAATCCTTTGGGCAGTGCTGTACCTGTCTATAATCAGGGAATTGCTAGTTCAATGTTAACACTGTCCCCTGTAGAAAATAACCTTTTATTATTGAGACCACATGTAACATGATTCTCACAGGAAACTGCATTTTCTGTGAATCACTTCCTCACAGGTACTGTCAATGAGAAAGCATGGGGTTCTCTGGCTTCCTGTTCTCGACAGCTATAATGGATGACACTACCAAACCATCCCTGGTTAGCTCCAGTCCATGAGGGGTACAGGGAAGAACATCAGCTTTTCAAAGTCCTCACAACATCATCACACCAGAAGTACCTAGGCCTCAGCAGTAAGTTGTTTGGTAGGAAACAGAAGGCAATATAGTCTCTAGGAGCCCCATCCTTTCTTGGCCACCATAAGCACCTCCCGAAATGCCAACAGTGGGTCCAGGTCAGTGCCCAGAAGAGGACAGACACTTGGTCTGGGCCTGAACTTAGCACCTGTACCTTCCCAGTTTCCCGCTGGATGAGGTCTTGCATCTCTTGTGTCCAGCCCAGGAGGTCCACCAGTCTTTCCACACCATGGACCACGTCTCCCAGCTGGGCCACATCCCTGCTGCGAGGATGCCAAGCGAAGGGCCCCACCAAGTCTCGATTGATGAGCAGTCGGGGTACTGATTTCTGCACCATCTCAGACAAGCTGGCAAAAGGCTCCACCTGAAAGATGGCCCAAATGTGAGGAGCAGAGTGTCCGTGCACCATCAAGACAGGGCACCGTAGCCACCAAGGCCTTGGGACAGGAGACAAGGCCTGACACTAACACGAGATCCTTCCACTTCATTTCTGAAGCCTCCTGCCACCTAGTCCGGGTGGCGTCTTTCCTGTCTAGGGCCTCTCTCTTCTTCTCAAAGACCTCTGAACTTAACCCTCCATGAACTGTGGCTTCCATCCACATGCCATCTTCTCCAGTCTGCGTATTCTACCTGTGCACATCTTCCTTCCACCTGCCTTAGGCCCTGCTCTGATCCTCTCCTACACTTGCCTGGCGAAAAGGAATAAGCACCATTACTGTCCCACCACCTAGGTCTCCATCAGTCTCTCAAGTGACAATACTGCCCATCAGGCTTCTACATCTAGAATTACCAGGGAAGGGCTAGAGAGATGGCTCAGTGGTTAAAAGCATTGGCTGATCTTGCAGAGCATTCCCAGCACCCACACAGTGACTAACAACAATCCCTAACTTCAGTTCCAGGAAATCCAATGCCCTTTTCTGGCCTCCGGGCACTGCACACGTGGTGCACTTAACATACATGCAGGCAAAACACAAAAAATAGAAATTTAAAAAGACTTAACAGTGAACAAAATGAAATTAGGAGATGGTATCAAGCCTGGCTCTTATCTGAGGAAAATATCAGTTCCTGCCTTTTTAAAAGATACTTATTGCCTGGTGTGGTAGCACATGCCTTTAATCCCAGCACTTGGGAGGCAGAGGCAGGCCGATCTCTGAGTTCAAGGCCAGCCTGGTCTACATAGTGAGTTCCAGGACAGCTGGGGCTACAGGGAGACCCTGTCTCAAAAACACCAAAAAAAAAACCAAAAACCCAAAGAACAACCCCAAAACAAACAAAACCCAAACACTAAAAGATATTATTTCGTATTTCATGTGTATGAGTGTATAAAAACCCAAAGAACAACCCCAAAACAAACAAAAAAAACCCAAACACTAAAAGATATTATTTCGTATTTCATGTGTATGAGTGTATTGCCTGCGTGTATTTAAATGCACCTGTGTCATGCAGTGCATGCAGAGATCAGATAAGGGCATCAGATCCCCTGGTACTGGAGTAACAGGATGGTTCTGGGGGCTGGAGAGATGGTTCAGTGGCTAAGAGCATTGACTGATCTTGCAGAGGACCCAGGTTCAATCCCTAGCACCCAGAGTTCCTGCCTTTTACTAAAAACGTTTCAAATGGACTGTAGATTTAAATATAAACAACACAGTTCTTGACCAGGTACAGTGGTGCATACCTGTAATCCCAGCACTTGGGGGTGGAGGTAGGAGGATCTGATGTTCAAGGCCATTCTCAGTTATACACCAAATTGGAGGTTGGCTGTGGCTACATAAGACCCTGCTTCAAAAAAGTAAAACAAGGGCCTGGAAAGATGGTTTGATAATTAAGAGTACTTGCTACTCTTGCGGAGGACCTGGGTTTGATTCCCAGGATGTGGCAGCTCAGAACTGGCTGTAATTCCAGTTCCAGGGGATTCAATACCCTTCTAGCCACCATAGATGCCAGGCATACATATGGTCGACATACATGCATACAGGTAAACATTCCACACATAAATTGTTTTTAAAAAGCAAAACAAAAAATCCCAGTACCAATTTTCTTTTTTTTCTTTTTTTTTTTTTTGAGACAGGGTCTCCCTATAGCCCCAGCTGTCCTGGAACTCACTATGTACACCAGGCTGGCCTTGAACTCACAGAGCTCTACCTGCCTCTTCCTCCTCACTGCTGGGATTAAAGGCGTGCGCCACCACACTTGGCTTACCAGTAGCAATTTTAAAGAGTCACAGGGAGGCCAGGATGGCTCAGTGGGTAAAAGTGCTTATTACCAAGGCTGACAACCTGAGTTCAATCCTCAGGACCCACATGTGCACAAACATACACGTGTACACACACACACACACACACACACACACACACACACACACTACATGTAAAGAAAAATTAGGGTTTATAGGTGAGGATAGGAAAAGATGTTTTAGGCATGGTAAAGTAAGACAAATGGAAGTGACAGACTTGACTGCCAGTATTGCCACACTGATAGCTCCATAAAACTACTGTGGAGGGGCTGGAGAGATGGCTCAGCAGTTAAGAGCACTTACTCTTCCAGAAGACCTGAATTCTGTTCCTAGAACTCATGTCAGGCTCATACTGGCCTACACACACACACACACACACACACACACACACACACACACACACAAATAAAAAACTACTGTGGAAAAAATTTAAATCTCTCACCACATATTTATATGTGGCACTTTATAAACATGTTAATTTGCAAATTTATAAGAAAAGATAGATATAAACATGCAAAGAGAAAAACACAAATGGGCAATAAACGAGCAGAGATGTAAGACCTCACTATTTACTTGTTGTACGGGGGAACTAACCCAAATTTTGCACATGCTAGGCAAGTACTCTACTGCTGAGCCCACTAAGCCACATCCACAGCCCCACAGTACCTATTTTCTTTAACATTATTTTTATTATTTTTAATTATGTGTCTGTGTATGGGTATGTGCATGTGAGTGCAGGTGCTCTTAGAGGTCAGAGGTGGTGATTCCTCTGGAGCTGGAGTTACCAGCAGTTCTGAGCTGTCCAGACCATACTCAGGTCCCCTGGAACAGCAGGAAGTGCTCTTAAATGCTGAACCATCTCTCCAGCCCCGTATCCATAGTATCTATTTTTTTAAATTATTTATTTAATAACCATATAATTAGAAGAAGCATTTCATTACAACACAATTGACATATTCAATAACGGTTTCCTGAGGTAGGATGCATCATTTTCAAAATTGGCTGTAAATTTTTAGGTTTACAGTTGAATTAATATAATTACTGAGCATGGATATAAAGTCATCAGGTAGATTTCAATGGTAATGTTTTTCAAATCTACTAATTATTAAAGAGCAAATTTTTATGCTTTGAAGAATTATTTTTTTTAATTTATTTTTACACCTACTTCCCAGATAGAACCCTCCCATAGCCTCCCTCCACCTACTAGAGCCCTTATACTCTGATATCCCTGCTACTGTCTGCGTGCTGTCGGCACCCCCAGCTATTCCCCACTACTTGCCCTTCTGGTGAATCTACTCAGCATATCTAGAGGTCTTTGTTTTAGGAGGGTCAGCTGTTCCTCATCTAGCAGTAATCAGTTGTCAATATTCCTTTGGACAAGATTGGGGTTTGCTGTTCATTTTCCCAGTTCCATGCTGGGTTACTATCTGGGAATCCATTTGGCCACCCTGGCCAAAAACTCAAAAGAAGGTATCGCCTGTCTGGCATTGTTGCATGCCATGTAGCCTTTAGCTATGCATATGGACTCCTAAGAAATTACATTGGCCCCCTTAATCTTTGGTTATACTTTCTTTTTGGGTGTTTAAGGCCATACAGTTGGTCCAGATAAACCAATTTATTTTTACTCTTAAGGTCGTTTGAGGATCTGTTCCTCAGGGGTCACATGGGCTTGGGAGGAGC